GATACTCTTTAAATTGTAGAATTTGTTTCTTAAAAAAAAAAAAAATAGAAAACCTCTTGGAAATACTCAAATGGAGTAAGAAAAAATATTTTGGTGATAAAATTGAAATTTAGTGACAATTGGTGATACAATTTGTCTCTAATAAGAGTATCTTTAAGTGACTCTATAAATACAAAATAAGTTCCAAAAGATTCTCTATTTTAAACTTCTAAAATAAAGAATGGGTTCGACTTTTTAAAATTTGGAGAGCAAAAGTCACTCTTTATTTTTAATTAACAATTACTGCATTTAATAAGTTACAAATATAAATATTTAATAAGTTAAATTATTCAAATTACATTTGACTTGATTGACTATTAACATATAAAAAAAAATTCTTAAGGCGTGTACGGTAGGGATTAAAATCAGATTAAAATTGAAAAATTAGTCGTTATTGTTGATTTTTATTAGATGAATGAAACCCAGTAACGATTATATTATCAATTTTAATTGAATTTTAAGCTTTGCCAAACATATTCTTATTACATAAGAGATTAGGAGAAATTAATAAATGTTCATTAGAAAAAATAAAATAAAGAGTAAAAATAGAGAGTATTGTTAAAGTGCATAAAAATTTGGGTTGTATTATAGATACTTGATATGTTTACATAATGATTTACATACATATGATGTCGTAAAATATAATTGAATCAAAATTCCTTCAACCTAATTAAAAAAAACCCTCTCTTTTGACACTGCATCTGCATGTAAACCATCATATAATTGTTTATATACAAGTAATATTAGTCTAAAAATTTTATTCTCTAAATTTAAAGATACTATTTATGCACCAGTTTATGCGTCATTATGTGATATATTTAATTAAATATGAAATTATATAATTTATTTAATTGAACATATAACTCAATGTCACCAGTGGTGGCATCTAGTCTGCTGCTAAATTTCAGTTATGAAATTATGTGATTCATTTAATTGAACTTGTAATTTAACATTATTGGTGCTGCAATCTAAAATGTCGTTAAACTTTAGTAACACTAAATAACATTACTTTTATGTATAAGATCTCGTGAAGATGCTCTAAATGTGTTTAATTAATAAATATTACTTAAAAACTTTTAATTTAAAATAAAATTTGCAACCATTTAAATGGCAAAAATAACTAATTGATTAGTTATCAATCAATTAAATTAAATTACAATTAATCAATTAATGACACAAATTAGTTTAAAACAAAATAAATTAAGTGGCCCAAATTTACACGCCATTCGTTTATTTCAAGTTCCAACTCACGTTCCTTGTTTCTATTCAAAATAATTGGCCTCGTCTTCTTCTCTGTCCTGCACAAATCGATTTATGACCCGCTACCTAAATTAAAATAACTCAAAATATTTTCGAAACGCCTCGCATATGCGCGTGATAATGTGGTCAATTCATTTCATTGACCGCATATACACGTTTAAATGTCAAAATGCGCACACGTTTGTTTTAAATATTGTGTCAAAATTAGCCTAACAAAGTTTAATCCATTTTTATATCTGAAAAAGCAAATTAAGTCAAAACAAATATCAAATTAACTCAAAACACCCAACCCCGTGAATTATATATAACAATCTGTATGGCTTTGATTTGAAAAAATAAAAAACAAAATATTTTTTTTTTCATAAAATTGCAAATTGTCTATATTGTGTGTGAGCTTTCTTCTTCTTCGGTCTTTATCTAGTTTTTACTAACAAGTGATGCTAGTAATGAACAATCTTGAATTGTTGATGGTTGTGATGATGAAGAGGAGGTTAATGATGGTATGCTACAATCTACAAGAGGCAATAGAAATTATCTAGTTGAAATAGGGGAGTTCGATAAAGATTATTTTACATCGGATGACATGGAAAATGACTTGAATGAAGAAGAGTTTGAATTGAAATTCGTTAAAAAATTAGACAATATTTTGGGTATTTTTTAATTTAATGTTCATGTCTAATCTAATTTTAGCGGAATTGATTACCGAGTAATTGTAGTATTTATAATTTTGAATATTATATTTTTGTTAAAATTTTGAAAAAATATGTATAAAATATTAATTTTAGTATTTATGATTTTGAGCATTTTTAAAAAAAATTGAAGAATGTGTATACAATTTAAAGAATACATTATTTTATTTATTTGTTAGTTTAAAATATTTAAAATAATATTAAAAAATGAAAAAGCATAATTACGCGTATACTTTGTATAAGCACGTATATTTTTTTTTTTTTTGATATCCAGGTATCCTAACTTACACTAGACTAAGTCCTGGACCACCCATCCCCGGCCCCTCAGTGATGGGTGGAGGTTAATCGCGGGATATGCCCAAATTGATACTCCTGGCCCCAAGGGAGCCTTCCTCCATGGATATTACATTACCAAGCTGCTCCACTCAAATTGAGTATTACAACACTCAGCTGCTCAATCCAGGAATCGAACTCCCCACCCTGAGGTTGCAAGCCCAGCAGTGCCCATCATTTGCCAACTTGGATGTGCCCCGGGGGGCGTATAAGCACGTATATTGTTGTGATGGTTGGAGGTCATTGTCTGATCTCCAACCACCACATTCATTAACGATACGAAACTTTCCAATGTATATAAATAATACCATCAAAAACTTTTTAAGTTTTTTTTCTCTCATTCATCCCAACGTGTACAAGAAACTGTAGCCATCACTTTGAAGAGAGAGAAGGATTTGGAACTTGGAAGCTCTCAAACTATTTCATCGTTCATAAATTAAAAAATTTATAGGTTACAATTAATTTGTCTGTTACAGTTTTTCAAATTAATTGGTCACAAATTATTTTTCAATTACAAATTATCGAATTTTTAGATCATAATTAAATAGTTGGTCACAGATAACTAAATAATTGGTCACATACCACCACGACCACTTGCAACCACCTTCACTTCGCTGCTACCACCGCCACCATCACAACCACACCACCAACAACAAATCGCCACCACCAGATCCAATCCATTGCCAACAAAAAACCACCACAACCACTACTATCAGACCTCCAACCACCTCCAACCATCTCCACCACGAACAACCACCGCTATAATACTATACCACAATAATCACTATTGCACCACCACCACCACAATCCAACAACCAAGAAAACCAACCTAAAAAATCTGTAACCATTGCCAATGCACAATGCCGCAGGAAAGGACGCTTACAGCGTCGCCATCTTCGAAAGTGGGTGGAGCGCTTCTGTTATATGGGAAAAATGTGTGCGGCGGCAATTTTTGACAAGGGTGAGTAGTTACTGTGAGTGTTGCCATCTCCGACAATGGGTGGAGCACTGTTGTAAGTTGGCACTCAACGTGATACTCTGAAGTGAGAGAGAGTGAGAAGAGAAATTGTGTGTGCGGCGACGATCTCCAACATTAGGTGCGTCTCCGTCTTGTGTGTGACGACAGTCTCCGACAGTGGGCGTGTCGCCATCGTCGTCGAATTTAGGGGGTGTCGATAGGTGGAGAGAGTCAGAAGATAGAAGATGGAGAGTGAGAATAGAATGAAATGATTTTTAGGGTTTGGAATTGAATTGTGTTGAGATATTTAATATTTAATTATTATATTAATCCTGATATGTGAACAAATAAATTTTATAGCTGATTTACAAATTGTAATCTTTAAACACCCGTTGGCATGTAATTTCTACTTTTTTGTTTTGATTTAATTTGTGTCACTATTTAATTAATTTTTAATTTATATACATATACTGCCCAATTCAATAATAATTAGCCTATTTAATTAAAAATTATATTTTTAGTAGATTTTGATAAAAGTTGATTAAAATTTTAGTTGAAAAGTTGATAAAAGTTGTGAATTTCATAAAATGTGAGATTAAAAATGGAAAAAATGAATTTTAAAATATAAAGGTCAACTTACAAATGTTATCATCGTTTAAAATTTCGTTGCAAATAAGCATAGATAGTTGGCTAATGAACACCAATGAAATGAAAAAATATTGCGAGGACTTATTATTTTCTTACACCTCTCTCTATATATACTTTCACACAGGTTTACTCTTGATAAAGAGTATAGTTGCATAGCATAACTAGCTAGCCTACGGGGAAGAGAGATTTAAGGTAGTTTTCCTTATTTAGCATGTTTGGTCGAACTTAAAAGGTGTTTTTTTTTTTTTTACATGATGTTGGGAAAAAAAAAAAAAAGAGAATTTAGAAGCTTTGAAGCTAAGCCAAACATGATATTTTCTTTATTCCTGGCACAATCTATTGAATGTCATGTATACTTCGATATTCGTATGTATAAATGTAAGTAGCAATACGGCCATGAAATTATTTCAACGTTTCTTTTGGTGGGTAATGTGCTAAGATATTTTGTGTTCTCTAACATAATCAAGACGAAATTGAGCCTAGTTACAACTTTTTTGTTCAAAAACGCTTGTAATAGAATGTCATAATTATCAATTATTGTTCCGATGGCTTCACGGTTATGTATGACCTTTATAATTTCTGTTTAACTTTTCATTTGTTACAGACTGTTGTAGAGCTGCGTACATCGGTGAAAATTTTTTTGATTGATCGATAGACCCCGAGATGGAAAATTTCGACGATAATGGACCTATTTTTAATTTGTTGCTTAATATGTTTGTTGCTCACATATCTTGAATTCAAGTCTCGTTTCAAATATTGTTTAAAATTATTATGTGCTTTTCAAATATGAATCAGGTCGTTCATGAAAAGCAAAGTAAATTGGCTAATCTAATAGAGAGAGAGAGAGAGAGAGAAAAAAAATAAAATTGGTTAAGTTGTCATTGAAAGACTCATTTTTCAGTTCAACTAAACTCGGGCTCGTTCTTTATGAAAAAATCCAAACGAGGAGTAAAGTTACCCTACACTATGAGATTTCTCCAGTGAAAAGTAAGCAAAATCAGTGTTCCATTAAAAAAATTTGGTGTTCGTTTTGAACCTTTGACAGGAATAACTGCCATCATTTCAAGTCCATCATGGCCTGCTTGGTCGAGGGTGTATACACACTCGAAAGTGATCGCAAGCAAAATCAAGCTCTTGCTCCTGAATGGTGGAAATCTTTCAATTTTGAACTAACCCAAGTTCTAGTAGATGAGAAGGGCCAATCAATTTTTGGAGCTATTTTCAAGTCCTATCCTAACTTCGCAGGCCAAGGTCCCCCAAAATACGTGATCGCCTTTCGTGGTACGGTCAACAAACTGGGAAACATGGCTCGAGATTATAAGCAGAATCTTAAGGTTTTTCTCAATAAACTCAAGAAAAGTCCGCGTGTTCGGGCTGGCATGGAAGTTGCTATGAACATTGTCCAAGAAGCAAATGGCCCTGGAAATGTGTTGTTGGCAGGACATCCGCAGGTTCATCCATAGCACTACTAATTGGGAGGAAAATGGTACGGGAAGATTGGTTAAAAGTAATTAATTAAGTTTAGTCAAACAATTTAAGTGTTTTCTTGATAGTTTGATTGTGTGCTTTTGACAGGTGGAAGAGGGATATCATCTCGAGACCTATCTCTTTAATCCGCCATTCCTTTCTTTTCCAATTGAACAAATAAAAAACGAGATTTCGAAGAATGGTCTGAGATTAGGAAAAAATTTCCTCACAGCAGGACTAGTTTTTGTTGCTAAAGGAGGTCACCTGACAACGCCTGGTGTAAATGATCCATTTATCGTGTTATCTTCATGGGCACCCCATTTGTTCGTCAGTAAGTCCGATCCCATATGTTCCAACTACGTTGGATATTTCGAACTCAGGGAGATAATGGAGAGCATGGGATTTGGAAAAATTGGAAATATATCGACACAAAATTCAATACGGAGTATCGTGTACTATGTAATAGGGAAGGATTCAGAACCAATTCACCTTCTTCCTTCTGACTATAAATATAAGTCCCACCTGTTAAAGGTTCAGGGATGCACATGGAATTCGTCAATGGTGTAAACCAGATTTGCAAGTCGAATGCAAATACTGTTCGTGGCATTAATTTTCGTCAGTCGGACCATTTTGTCTTAAAGCTCAAACAATTTGAAATGAACATGTTTGTTTATCCATCCATCTCACATGTACATCGAATTTCATTTTTCATATTATATTCTGTTTATCTTGAATTGATTATAAAATTTTCTAGCTAGTCAATATGGATCTACACCGCATGGGCCCACTTACCAAATGAGGCCCAATAAGACTCAGCAAGCCCATAATCTTTCTTCTTAAGTTAGAATAGAGTACAACTGACCTTTTGATGTACATCATAGATGACAGCCCACCTCACATATGGGGTGGGCCCACAAGTTTTAAAATTGCCTGCACACCCCTATGTGAGGGGGCTGTCAAACTGAATATACACAAAGGCATTATTCTTAATTGTTATACTCTGACTTTTGCCTTTATCAAGTCAATTGTGACAATAAAAATACTAATAGAGTTTTAAGTAGAATCTTTAACTATAGTATATCAGTATAAAAAAAGTAGGCTAAAACCAGTAAAAGAATCAAAAGGAATCTACTTTGTCTTAGAAATTAAAGAAGACAAAATTCTACTACAAAAACTCAATAAGCCAGACTTATTCTAGTTAATGTAGGAAGAAAAAATAGACATTGTGAAGATGTCCGTCTAAATGTGGAGGAGCGTTAGACGGATTAAAATATTTTAAACTCTCACTATTTCTCCTTTTTGTTTCTTATTCTCTCTCCTATTATATACATTCAAGTTATAAAAAATTGCATCGAAGACGAATTTCGAACTTAATTGTTTATAATTAGACATCAATGCTATATGAACTAGAAGCCTTTTGTATCCGTCCGTCATGTATATCCAGAAGGATATTATACAAATAACTATTACTTGGAATGAATTTTCAATATTAACTAAAACGAAAAGATACTAGTCCAATATTACTTGGAATGGACAAAGCCTGTAACACCCCTGGTGTTATGGACATAAAAAATAAAGACGATTTTATGCTTGCATATTTATTGTTCAATCTAGCCTGCTGCTAGTTCACCAGTATAGGAAGATGGATGAAAACGCTAACATATGGAACCTACAAAAAAGTTAACCTTTATCCAGGAGCCTCAACTTATTTGGTTCGTGCTCTTTACGAAATGGGAAATATAATTTGTATTTACCCATCAGAATCTTTAAAAGAAATTTCTTTGTTATCAAAAGAAGTAGTCCGAACTATTGAAAGGTATTGCAAAGTTCTTAAACATAAGAACATTTATATCAGGTTTTTCTCTGTTAGTCCTGAATGGGATAATGAAGAAGATAGACTATTGCCAGTTAGCCATGTGGCGACGGGTACGATGGGGGTGCGTCTTCAGATCTTTTTTTTTTAGCGGTGCGATGCGGTGGCAATGGAGTGGTGGTTGCTGAGGATACAGTGGGGGGTTTTTTGGTTGTGGTGTGGTGCAGGCAGTGGTTGTGTGGTGGTGGTCCTTTTTTTTATTGTTGGGGGAGATGTTGTTGGGGGAGATGAGGTGATGGTGTGGTGGTCGTGTTGGGGGAGAGAGAGTGAGAAGAGAAATTGTGTGTGCGACGGCGATCTCCAACATTAGGCGCGTCGATGTCTTTTATGTGACGACACTCTTCGACACTGGGTGTGTCACCGTCGTAGTCGAATTAAGGGGGTGTAGATAGGTGGAGAGAGTCAGAAGATAGAAGATGGAGAGTGCGAATAGAATGAAATGATTTATTTAACGACTCGGGCTTTTTCTGAGCCGAGCCCGAGCTTTTTTGCCATCCCTACAAATAAGCATAGATAGTTGGTTGATGAACACCAATCAAATGAAAGAATATTGCGAGGACTTATTATTTTCTTACGAAGCCAAGTAGCCAACTTACAAATGTTAGCCATCCCTACAAATAAGCATAGATAGTTGGCTGATGAACACCAATCAAATGAAAGAATATTGCGAGGACTTATTATTTTCTTACGAAGTCAACTTACAAATGTTAACCTATTTAACTAAAAATTATATTTTGATAAAAGTTGATTAAAAATTTAGTTGAAAAGTTGATAAAAGTTGTGAATTTCATAAGTTGTGAGATTAAAAATGGAAAAAATGAAGTTTAAAAAATAAAGGTTAACAAGGTCAACTGACAAATGTTAACATAGTTTAAATTTTCGTTGCAAATAAGCATAGATAGTTGACCAATCAAATGAAAGAATATTGTGACTTATTATTTTATTACGAAGTCAACCTCTTTCTCTATATATACTTTCACACAGGTTTACTCTTGATAAAGAGTATAGTTGCATAGCATAACTAGCTAGCCTACGGCGAAGAGAGATTTAAGGTTATTTTCCTTATATAGCACGTTTGGTCGAACTTAAAAAGGTGTTTTTTTACATGATGTTGGGGAAAAAAAAAAAAAAGAATTAGAAGCTTTGAAGCTAAGCAACACATGATATTTTCTTTATTCCTGACACGAACTATTGAATGTCATGTATACTTCGATATTCGTATGTATAAATGTCAGTAGCAATACGGCCATGAAATTATCTCAACGTTTTTTTTTGGTGGGTAATGTGCTAAGATATTTTGTGTTCTCTAACATAATCAAGATGAAATTGAGCCTAGTTACAAAATTTTTGTTCAAAAACGCTTGTAATAGAATGCCATAATTATCAATTATTGTTCCAATGGCTTCAAGGTGATGTATGACCTTTATAATTTCTGTTTAATTTTTCATTTGTTACAGACTGTTGAAGAGCTGCGTACATTGGTGGAAATTTTTTTGATTGATCGATAGTCTCCGAGATGGCAAATTTCGACGATAATGGACCTAAATATCTTACTGATATTGATTGGTGTGCCTATTTGTTATTTGTTGGTTAATATGTTTGCTGCTCACATATCTTGAATTATTCAAGCCTCGTTTCAAATATTATTTAAAATTATAATGCACATTTAAAATATGAATCAGGTCGTTCATGAAAAGAAAAGTAAATTGGCTAATCTGATAGAGAGAGAGAAAAAAAAATTGGTTAAGTTGTCATTGAAATACTCATTTTTCAGTTCAACTAAACTCGGGCTTATTCTTTATGAAAAAATCCAAACGAGTAAAGTTACCCTGTACCATGAGATTTCTCAGTGAAGAGTATGAAAAATCAGTGTTCCATTAAGAAATTTTGGTGTTCGTTTTGAACCTTTGACAGGACTAACTGGCATCATTGCCAGTCCATCATGGCCTGCTTGGTCAAGGGTGTATACACACTCGAAAGTGATCGCAAGAAAAATCGACAAGGCGATCAAGCTCTTGCTCCTGAATGGTGGAAATCTTTCAATTTTGAACTAACCCAAGTTCTAGTAGATGAGAAGGACCAATCAATTTTTGGAGCTATTTTCAAGTCCGATCCTAACTACATAGGCGGCCAAGGTCCCCCAAAATACGTGATCGCCTTCCGTGGTACGGTCAACAAACAGGAAAACGTGACTCAAGATTATAAGCAGAATCTTCAGCTTTTTCTCAATAAACTCGAGAAAAGTCCGCGTGTTCGGGCTGGCATGAATGTTGCTATGAACGTTGTTCAAGAAGCAAATGGCCCTGGAAATGTGTTGTTGGCAGGACATTCCGCAGGTTCATCCATAGCACTACTAATTGGGAGGAAAATGGTACGGGAAGATAGGTTAAAAGTAATTAACTAAGTTTAGTCAAACAAGTTAAGCATTTTCTTGATAGTTTGATTGTGTGGTTTTGACAGGTGGAAGCGGGATATAATCTCGAGACCTATCTCTTTAATCCGCCATTCCTTTCTTTTCCAATTGAACAAATAAAAAACGAGACTTTGAAGAAATGTCTAAGATTTGGAAAAAGTATCGTCATTGCAGGACTAGCTTCTGCTGCTAATGGAGGTCACTGGCCAACATCTGATCCGTTTATCGTGTTATCATCATGGGCACCCCATTTGTTCGTCAATAAGTCCGATCCCATATGTTCCAACTACATTGGATATTTTGAAGGCAGGGAGAAAATGGAGAGAATGGGATTTGGAAAAATTGAAAATATATCGACACAAAATTCAATACGGAGTATTGCGTTCCATGCAATAGGGAAGGATTCAGAACCAATTCACCTTCTTCCTTCTGCACGTATGACTATAAATATAAGTCCCACCTGTAAAAGGTTCAGGGAGGCACATGGAATTCGTCAATGGTGGAAACCAGATTTGCAAGTCGAACGCAAATACTATTCGTGGCATTAATTTTCGTCAATCGGACCATTTTGTCTTAAAGCTCAAAACAATTTGAAATGAACATGTTTGTTTATCTATCTCACATGTACGTCGAATTTCATTTTTCATATTATATTTTTGTTTATCTTGAATTGATTATAAAATTTTCAAGCTAGTCAATATGGATCTACACCGTATGGGCCCATTTACCAGATGAGGCCCAATAATGACTCAGCAAGCCCATAATCTTTCTTCTTCAAAAGGAATCTACTTTGTCTTAGAAATTAAAGAATACAAAATTCTACTCCAAAAACTCATAGCATTTCCAAAGTTAATGTGGTTTGCTTAATAAAAGTTATCATACATGCAAGAATTGATAATTTCTGTAAAAGCTGATCAATGCAACATAAGCGAGACTTATTCTAGTTAACGTAGGAAGAAAAAATAGACATTGTGAAGATGTCCGTCTAGATGTGGAGGAGCTTTAGACCGATTAAAATATTTTAAACTCTCACTATTTTTCCTTTTTGTTTCTTATTTTTCTCTCCTATTCTATAAATTCAAGTTATAAAAAATTGCATCGAAGACGAATTTCCAACTTAATTGTTTATAATTAGACATCAATGCTATATGAACTAGAAGCCTTTTGTATTCGTCCGTCATGTAAACCATGGGCGGACCGAGGATTATGGTTGGGTGGAGGGGGGGCGGGGAGGGGGACAGAATTACGTAAAAAATAATTTCAAATTGGACAATAAAGATAATATTCAAAACGTAATACTTTTTTTACAACTGTCTCAATATGTTGCTCTTCATTCATCAAGGCTTCACTGTTGCTTCGGGCTTCATTGTGTGCACTATGGACGTCTCCAACATGAACTCCAAGTCTATCCTTCTTTTTAAAATTATGGAATCC